TCAAGAAAGCTGCTTTTAGAGTGTCCTCTGCAACTTAAATGCTCAGATGCAGTGGTAGATGGGAAAAAACCAACTTTTAGTTGAGTCCTTCCTTGTATTGCTTCATCCACTGAAAAAAATCCCCACAAACCACCACCCCTAAGTGCCACCGTATCTTAGTGTTGTCTGGGAATAGTTCATGGTACTGTGTGCCAGGGTACTCAACAGCCACGACTCTTGGGTTCGCTGCTCCGTGGGTGGTGAAGCCACTTCAGGCATCTGAGCAAGAGACGGTCGGAGTTGACGTGGAATCGCTCCCTGGTGCTTAAGCACAGTGTTACACACCCTTCATTCGAGTTCAGAACATACTTTTGCTTGAATAGGTAAGCACAGCGATCAATTACCACCACTTACCTCGAGGCTTCAACTCATACCAGAGTAGTAAACACCGTGTAAGTGAAACCTCCCATCTTAGGAACACGAACAACAGTGATGCTTCAGGTGGAACGTGTGGGAAAGGACAGCTGCTGTGGTAGGCGAAGGGGAACTCGCAGTTGCCCGGGACGCGGTTTGTGCGGTGACACGTAGGAAACGGGCGTGATCCGTATCATCCCTCTCCCATGAGTGCCACCGCTGCCCTTGGCACGCGTGGAGGGTGGGCAGCCATCCGCTGGTCCTCACGTCGCTGTGTTGGTGAACGCCTGCCCAAAAGACATGAGGATTTACGCTCGTTCAGATCGTCCTCATTAACAAGTGTCAGCTTTCTGATTCTGTATTTTATCAACTCTGTGCTTCCTGCAGAGGCCCTTGGGTTCGGTGGGGTAGAACACCGAGTAACAGGAACAACTGCAGCAAAGTTAGGGTAGTTCTGTGCATCAGGCCTCGCCAAGGGTCGAGTTCATTCTGAGATCTCCTCCGAGGTAGTGAGGGCTCTTTCAGCCAGCTGCATCCCCCGCTGCACAGGGGGTGTCGAGAGAGGATGAGGTGCATTTTGTAGACAGAAGAGAGGGAAGAGGAACAGTGCTTATCTGGGGACAAGGGAACCTTTCCTTGTGTAGGTTGAATATGATGCTGAAACATCCGAATTCCACAGGTATAAGGGTCCGTTTGTGATTTTAAACTACTCTAAACAATTTATGGGCTCTGAAGTTTCAACATCAAGAAGGCAAACGTTCTTTTCTGAACTGTTGTGACTTTTGGGCACTTAGCAGGCAAACTGGGAAAGCTCTTTTAGCTGGCTGCTGTACAGACTTGTTTTAAGTAGAATGGATTTGTTAGTGGGTTTTTTTATTGTAATGCTATTATTGGCTGCCCTCCTGTCTTAAGATTTGAAAAAGTGAGTGCATGCAATGGAAGTACAAGAGGCCCCAGTAATAGTTCTCCATGTTTGTTATAAAATAGACACAGGTTTCCTTTTTATGACTTTTTTTAAAACTGTCTTACGAACAGTTGTATTGGTACTTTTTTTAAGTTTAGGTCAATGTTGTCTTCCAGACTAAGTTTTAAGGCATCACTCACTCCTGCATTGAACTATCGCATCAACACAAAGAGTGGAGATTCCATTCTGAGCCAGTTCAATTGTGAAAATTCATACTTTTTTTATTTTTTATGCAATTCAATGAGTAGATGAGCTCAGATTTAAATTCTTAAAAGCACGTTTATTGTAACAAGAATTGTTATGTATTAATACTTCAGTTTTCAATAAAGATTGACTTGTGTTGCTTATTGTGTGGTGTGGTTTTTTCCTGCTGTCTTCGGTGACATACTTTTAGAAAAGTCTGTTGCTGGCTAGCAGTACAGTGCGCTTAAACTCTTTAAGCTGATGAAATCTGGTGCTTGATCAGAGCAAAACATTTCAGTTGGTTAAGTGGCTAACGAAACACAGTAGTAAAGGCTTCCTGACGGGGATTAAGCTGCCCGAATCGCCCTGTCTGAGAGCGTGATAAAGAATGGTGCAACCCTGCCTTGCTCCCTTCTGAGGCATTTCTTGATACTTGAGCTTATTACTTTATTTTATAGCTTAAACCAAAGAAAATGGAAGAGATGCAAATTTTCACAGTGCTGTAGCGTTTACTTGATACCAAATCAGTGCTGCTTCAGAGGTGACAGGTCTTGAGTAGCGAGCGGTTATAAATCAATGTGTTTCCCAGAAGGAAAAGAATTGAGTAGGTGTGAGGTGTGGGTAATTATTCTATTTCTTTTGAGAGTGGGTGGCTGTAAATGACACTGATGTT